ACGTGATGAACAAAATATATATCAGTTATCTAAAATCAAGTAAAATTAAAATCCGTTTATGTTATGCCCAATTTCTGTAGGAACTCTTTATCAACTTCATTGTTTTAAATGAACGCATTTAATCTGCTGATATCAATTAATTGTTGTCAATAAAAAGTCAATGGAAATACACAAGCCTTTTTATACTTGAAAGTGCCTAATCATGATGAAAAAATAAAGTTCTATGTAATGCGACTAAATCATATTTTAATATGTCGTTATCTTTGTAGTATGTAGTTGAAGTAGATCATTTAAATTTAATAACTAGTTTCATCTTTCATTAAACTTTGAAATTATTTAGACTGTATTTTTGTTGTATATAAAAATAGAATGGACATCAAAACCGCCAGATCTCAGTGTCAGCGACTATTTTTCATGATATCCATGTCACTACGACAACGTGTTGTGTTTAGTGCGTCTAAACTGACATTAAAACTTTTTGCTGAAAAATGGGTAAGGAACATTTTAAACATCTGTATTAAACCAATGTTTACATAATTTTAATAAATTTGTTGGGGTATTCAATTTATTTCGTTTGATCGCGTACTGATGAGAACTAATAACGTTGAAATCGGCCTATATCTAGAGACGTTTGTATCATAGTATTTCTGGATATGCGATTTAAAGCTCCTGATACTTTTTCCATTGATTCCGTGGGTATGAAATGTTTACATCAAAATAAACCTTGCTCAAACAGTAACACGACGTGGTTGAACACTTTTTTTGCTTATAAAAATAAAGTAGAGAGTAATACTTAATTCCAGCTTGGTATAAATAAATAAAAGTTCATACATCTGCTATCATCCCATACCAGAAACTAACAATAGGATACGATTTGGCTGAGGTAATTTTTTTACCGTTAGTCATTTTCAACACGCTCTGATCAAAATAATCAAAGTGAATTCTCGTTTTAAATAAATATCTCGCGGTAAAAAACTACCGATTTGCTCCTGGTTCTAATAATGAGATTAATTTAGTTCTATATCTGCATTTTATATCGGTTTAGTCAGATTTTTTGTCGGTCAGTAATTTAGTTGCTTTTAAAAGCGTATTTATTAATATTTAGTAATTAATTTTTTGTCAGTTTCGACACCCAGTAGAAAAAAGTTGTTTACCACAAGAAATGCATTTATAAAAAAAAATTAACAATTCATTAGTGTAATTTTTGCCAACTTAGAAAGGGTTTAATTAACAATTAATGAATGAAACGTACTGCTGAGAGAGTCGCTATCACATGACTGATCGATTGACATTTAAATTAGATTTTAACATTTATTAGTAGAAGTGCGTGTCGATGCAAACAAATGAAATAAAAGCTCTAGTGGAAAGGTATTTGTTGGCCTTAAGTTGATGTGTCATCTCTCTTTTTTCTAATAAACTTTAGAAAAAAGAGAGCTTTATATTTAAATTTTTTGTATCCTCATACTATCGAGTTTGAGAAATAAAATTCATGGCTTTTTGCTAGCAGATTCACTGTATCCAATCTAGTGTCTCCCAAGAAATAAATAAATATTGAAAAATATGCATTTTACCTATACACTATCCAACAGTGGTATCGTATAACTTGAATCAATCAACGAAAATTTATTCACCAATTTGGTTATAGAAAAAACGGTAGCCTCCAGGTTACAGTATCGAATTAAACAGATATCGTTACATTCCGCAAACTGAATTTTTAATGCAATTTCACAATAAAATATTGCAGTCACGACCGGCTGAACACTACTTATAAATCGAAATACAAACGAAACAACGGACTGTTAATTTCACAATTTACGGCAAATTCCATTCAGCTACAACAATGCCAATGCAATTATCGCCCGGCAGCGGAGCCGTAATTTTTTTAAACGATCCGAACTAGTTTTATTGCAGCAGCGTTAGTGTCGATCCGCCAAGTGTATGAATGTAAGCTGGCGTTCAATTATGTTTTATAACAAACAACGGGATTGCATGGTTACTATGCGTTATCCGAACGGAATACATGGTTACAACTGGCTGCGTTAGAGACACGTGTCTCTAGTAACAGGGTCAATTGGTATTGACTCCAATATCCTCCACGCTAACTGTTCATTAATAAAAACAAAAACCCCCCGGGTAATCTATCACAGCCGGCAGACGATCTCTTAATTGCTGAATCCCCGGCTCAATTGTTGCTGACGGATACATCTGCCTAGGAGACTTTTAACCTAATCAGTTTCCAGAGTCTATAAAAATTAAATGGATTCAACTAGTATGAATTAGTGAGCCGATGGTCACAGCATCAGCCAGCGACGTATCACAAGGGAAAGCTAAAATATAGAGTTCTGAATGACCATACACCAGTAGAACTTTCAAAGGATTACATCTGTATCTAGTTTGACAGACCTAGCTGAATCGGTTCGACCGGATAGGTTCACTAATGCAAAATATGAGGCACCCTGATTTTAGCATTTTAGCGGAACTATTCTATAACCAAGCCAAATCAGCCATCTAATCATAGAATAATAATATTTGGAGAAATTGATCAATTGTTTAACTCCAACAAGTTTTTAGAATCTAGGCAGCGCCTGTCAGTACTCAAATGTTTTTCCTCCTTCTTAAGCCAGAAGTAGCTTTGATAGTAACGGAAGCTACGCCAACACCTGGTTCTGATCCCATCTCAAGGTAGCAATCTCTCCAGTTAGAAAGTTTGCGACCTCGTTCCTCTGGAGACCTGATTAATCAGGCAGAAGTAGCTTTGACAGTAGCGGAAGCTACGCCAACACCTGGTTCTGATCCTATCTCAAGGTAGCAATCTCTCCAGCTAGAAAGTTTGCGACCTCGTTCCTCTGGAGACCTGATTAATCAGGCAGAAGTAGCTTTGACAGAAGCGGAAGCTACGCCAACACCTGGTTCTGATCCCATCCCAAGGTAGCGATCTCTCCAGCTAGAAAGTCTGCGACCTCGTTTCTCTTGAGACCTGATTAATCAGGTGTCCAGACCAAAGTCACTATGTTATTATTTCCTAATAGCGCCTGGTATCCTGACAAATCCATACCGTTCTTGAATTACATCAATAAGATCCAAAAACAGTCACAGCTACTTGGCTAAGTAAGTATTTTTATAAACTCCTAAATCCTGCAATTATTCCAGCCCCCGTACACACAACTCAGGGGCATATATTTCTGCTTGAAAGGTAGTCACACAGGTACCAACGTTTACCGATAGTCTGGTCATCAAATTTACCACCTTTTGGAGTTTTGGAACTGACAGTAGATCAACAACTATCTGCCTTCAATAGGTTAGTTCCATTTTGATTCCATTCATCTCTTACTGGAAGAAGAATGTCGGCAGAAGAGTCGACAGTGTGCTGTGGCCATATCCTCCAGCAAACTGTTGTCCCATGGTGTCAGCTTTTGGCGCACCAGCTGTAGCCTGACACTCTTGTCTCTGTAAATCAGAGTTTGACTTTGGCTGTTTCTAGAAGACTTTTAGATCACATTTATACTTGTTTGAATCCATCTAAGGTAATATCCAAATATTTCACTTCTTCCGTAAAACGTATTGCCTACCGCAATAAACAAGGGGTATCAAGTGGCATAACTCCTTTTTCCTTGTGAAGAGTACTATAACTGTTTTGTAGAGGTTTACAAACATTTTTCACTTTCATACTAGCTCCGAACCTCATTCTGAAGAAACTCTTGCTTTAGAGGAAGTCTTACTAAAAGAACCAGATCGTCGGCATAAACCTGAACCAAGAATCAAGACATTACATGTAGAAAGGTATGACCAGAAGGTCATCCACAGGAATACCAAGTCCTTTCTCCCTACGAACTCCTCTTTGTTTCCTTTGTAGTTATGATTCTCTTTTTAGCATTTACCTGATTCGGCCACATATGGTCGACTCAATTCTTCTCACAACATCGGATCAGAATCAAGACTCCTCCGTTATTTGGCCAATATTCCTGTGTTCTTTTTGCTAGAATTCGCCATATCACAGGCAACCAATAAAAAATGTGGGGCCATGATATGCAATCAACTTTATTGAAATTGCCCGAGAAGTTTTCACAATCGTTAAAAGTAAAGCAGCTGTAACTAACGTTAGTATTAGATAATTTATATAACACTTTCTCCTTATAATATAAGATCATTTTAAGCACTTTCTTATGTTTATCGTTTTTTAGAAGTGACGTATAATAATAATTACATACTTGATTATAACTTAATAAGGCTTTGACAAAGAATATGTTCCGCCTTTGTGCATAATTAGGTACGATTATCCCTTTTTTCTTTTCTTTGGTTTGAAAAACTTTTAACTTGAAATGTCCTGCTTCCTAGACTTTTCCTGACGGGACACCTTCATTATTCAGTGATTATAATTACAGTAATTACTTAATTAATGAAATTTTGTTCAGAATAATTAAAGCGGAATAATATAAAGAACGTAAAGATAATGAAAACGTTTTTTGATACTAATTTCTCTTACACACGCCATATTTTTATCTGTAAAGACGTTTATATGAAAAATAGAGATTAATTTAACAGTATTTTTAGCTTTTTAAGTACTCACTCTTGACTTGACTTTTAAAACTAAATTAAGGACTTCGTCTGTATGCAAATTCCAACATCGGCTGATATAATATTCATATCTTGGATATTATCAATTGTTAATAGGTAGATATTAGATAAAAATAAGTAAATTGATTAAGTATTTTGATAATATCATCAAGATCAAATTAGTACAAAATGTAAATTGCTTGGATTTCTGGGCATGTTTTGACGTTGGTTTGTTATTAGATTCAGTTCAAAATTTCGATAAATACGAACGTTACGACGCTAAACTCCTTTAAATATTATAGCGTCAATGTGGCTCAACCTTTATCCGTTCACAAATATGAATAAAATATCAATATGGTAAAACCATCTCTAACTTGGCTTAATTATACCTAGTTATACAGAGATGCTGTGCATTATAAAACATTTTAAATAAATCGTATAAATACCTGTTCCTCAAGACATAAAATGATCAGGAAATTGCTGTCTGTCACTCTCACCTGCAAAAATAACATCTATAATTAGTTGGTATTACAGTTCTTCAATTATAGTGACTATAAATTAATAGACAGAACTAGCTGATTTGGTAACAAAATAAATGTATTTTATAAAGTAATAACGACATTCTCTCTTGGAATATATAAAGATTTCAGTTTCTCCTTGTTTATTGAATTAATGCACTTGTACAGTCGTTAAACTAAAAGTACGATTTATCCATCTTTTCAATTTTCTTTAAAACAACGAGAGACTAAGAATTTCAACTGTGAAGATTTTTAAGCTTGAAAAACAGTCAGCGAGTCAACAATATATGTTATACAGTATTGTAACACTAAAGAAATATTGTTCTCTTGAGCTAAGCGCAGAGATAGAGAGGGATCACAATCAAACTAAAAATAGCACCGCTCAAGGAACATTCAATTAGCTAAAAACAACAGAAGCAATTAAACAGGTTTAACGTTTCTCTTGGAAAGGATCCATTCACCAGACCAGCAACTCATTTGGAAAATAAACCAAAGGGGAAATTGAAATTGGAATATTCGTATGAATGAAATGAGCAACGTTTTCTTCATATACGGACGATCTGGCGGCGATGGCAAGGCACCGCGAGAGACATTTGTTAGTCCTGCTGCTTAATCAGTTTTGTAATACTTACATTGACTTAAAATGCACCTGGCCTAGACGTTTTATAATATTGCCCAAAGTCAAATATCGTGGACTATTATTAATAAAAGAAAAAAACCATATTCATTGTTAATGTAATTTGTTTAGTTTTATAATGGATGGAAAAGAATAATTCTTTCACAAAATCATTTAATCGTTTCCTTAACTAATACATTACTATGAATACAATGACGATTTATTATGAGATCTGTTTGTTGTTAAAAAATTATAAAGAACTACCTACATGAGATTAACCTGCCAACATTGTAATATTATTTGTCGCAAAATTTGTTTTCCTGCTATAAGCAATAAAGAATTTTTTAATCTGTAAACCTCTTAGATAAAGAGTTTACTTATCAGTTCAAGGTTTCCTTGACATTTTGTTTTTGTTATTAACTGATGACATATTTATTATCCTCCTTCCTAATGTCGTGTAAGAAAGTTTAAGATTCCAATATTATTGGTGGAAAGATGAAAATAACTTAGTTATTTCTATTTTAAGTACCAAAGCCTATAAATCAACCTTATTCCTAATCAGCTCAGTGGGATGATCAACGAAATATTTGCTCGCTAACCGACTTTGACCCGTTCGACCATTCGTTAATTGTAACCTAAAAGGATAAGAGTTTTCAGAGCTGTACTTAGGAATGCTGTTAAGCCAGCTGCACTTCAAAAGTAGTGCCTGTGCTAAATCTATGAAAGTTGTGGAGTGCCGACAAAATTTGATTACAGGCATAGTATCCACAAGAAGCTACGTCTCTACACTTTATCTATAGAAGTATTCGTTTCAGCCTGGTGACAGGTAATCAAACTGCTGGCTAAGGAAACACCTTTACAATATAAGGAAGTGTGAAACACCTCTTTGTAGGGGCTGTGAACAGGAAGACGAAACAATATTACATGTGCTATGTGAATGCACTGCCGGCTTACAAACTAGTAGTATCCACAAGAACCTAGAACTCCTGCAAAGGTAAGTATTATCCGGGTATATTCGTTTTAGGACACATTCCTTAATCCTGGCCCCGATCTGGTGCCGGGAGCTGGCAGCCAGCCGCTCGACTATATGTAGTATATAGTGAAACCGGGCGTAGACAAAGGAAATGGTAGTGTCCGTGGCGGTAGTACGCTGGGGGCGGCGCCCGCCGCCACTTTTGCTATCACAGCGTATGCGTGGGCGGCGCGAGCGGGATGAATGGGCGCCGTTGCCACGGCAACTACAACACGCCAAGGCTGCATTGATTTTTCAGCCAAGGTTGAGCCAGGGAACAATGTCCAAATTACACAACCGGAGCCCATTCATCATTTCTGGGAGCTTCCTATGCTGTCTAAATAATGAGACTCCACGGACGTATCTAGGTTTTTTTTCTACTGCAAAATAAATACTTGATGGCCAGCAACGCGAAAGCTGGAGTTTCGCAACTTATCTGTAGGAAGAGGAATATAAATTTGATGTTGAAATCATTGAAGAACTTATTCAAACATTACCCTTCACTTATATGAAAACAATTTTTCTCGTGATCTAATTATGTGTATTGGGTCCGTCTCTTCCTGCCAATTAACAATCCGGCTTAAACTTTTCGTCCTTCATTGTGATGTACAAGGTGAAACAGTGATATTGCAACAAATTCAGGGCTGAACCCTCTCTAGAACGATTCCTAAGGACCTATGACTCTTCAAAGATTGGAAGTAAAACACAATGACCAAATCACTAGAGAACAAAGAAATTGGAAGAAATACATGGTACAAAGTCTGCATTTCATTTGCGCAAATGCTGCACGTTTCCAACAATAGGTGACTTTAGTGGGAAATTATTTTTTTAAAACAAACTGAACTTGTGCATATACTGAACTTCAAACCCAAAGCACTTAACAACCCAAATAGGTAATCGCCGTTGTGGTAAAACTGACAGTAGTCAAATCCTTATGAGAGAGTGGGAAACTGGCAAAATACGCAGTAGTACAGCTTGACAAAATACATCTTGTCTCAGTCTCAGACGCGCACTAACGCACGAACTTATTATCTTATTTTTCATCCCTACTATTAAGGGATCCTCATATGGCGGACTCTCTTCTTCGTCTGCACATTTCATAGACAAGATAATATAAATTTCTAGACTCAGAATCTTCAGACATGGAATCTGAAGATCTTTCTTTACATGAAATTTGATTCAACACAATAAATGTTGTTTTTTTATTTATAAAGAACTGAAATTTTGCTTCATTTTATTTAATAAGAAGGAAAACATTTTGTCCAATTTTTGTGTTTCAGAGGAAGATTTTTTTTCAAATTTTTCCGGTGTTTGTTCCTAATTATTACATCTCTAGTACAGACCAATTTCTCAAAGTAGCTACCTACATACATATAAAATTTAATTAAAGGTAACCAGTGGCATCAGTATTACGAGTAAAAGGGATCCGACTTAAACTTAACTCAAAAGGGGTATTTGACATCAGCAGAAAAAATTCTTCTACAGAGTTGAACTATATCCAAATTTTTTCCGTAAATTTGCATGTATTAAAATAAAAGTTAGTTGGATAAACATATTTTTCTCTTTGTAACTTTGTACATCTAAATGTAATTGAGAAATGAAAGAAAAATAAGTACTTTTTGTATTTAGGTCGCTGCTGACGAGCACATAACTTTTTCATGGTTTTTGGACTTTCAACAGTGAACTGTTAATTCTACGAAGAAACATCAAGAGGCACAAAAGTTTTATTTGGAAATGATCTACACAAATTTCTGAAAAAAAAACTTTGAGATGTCAAATAACTTTTTTGACAGTTGCAATCCAAGGGACGTCTTCTAACTCGGATGCCACTGTTTAGTTCTTGGGTAAATTTTTGAAAATAAAACTATACAAAATTTCAAATAGGTGCTTAAGTAATTGACCAAAACCCGTTTCATGTTCTATATTCGTAGGGTTGTAGAGCCCTCAACAGTTTTAGAGAAAATGTGGTACTCTCATTTTTTATTATTTTGATGAAAGGACTAATATTCTGATCAGTTTGCAGAATAGAGAACTGAAAGAGATAATTTTCTTGTATGAACAGATTTCACGTATTTGAACAAGCTTTAATGATTACATTTTGATTTTTTATTACCTTACATAAGTAAGGTGCATACTTAGAACGGCCATCAATTAAGGCAATGTTGAAATAGTCTCAATTTATATAGGTATTTATGCCGAAGCCAACTGATACATTGACACAAATGTAAAATGTATGATAATGTGCAATGTAATTGAAGACCAAATTCAAGAAATCTCTAAATATTTCTAGTACACTATTCGTAACCATTGGTGGTTACAAGACAAATACTCCTATTTGATTAATTTACAAAAATTTAAATAATCTAATTTATCTTAAGATAATTCATTTATTGGTGCATTTGAATAAAGTGACCTCTTCATTCAAAGGACAATCGATCAATCAGTACACGCGACGAATTCCTAACGATAAGTTTCATAAAACGTAAACACCTATAAGGATGTCCCATATAAAACTTTCCACCTGAACATTTCGTTTAATATCAAGTTTCGAAAAACAGATCGATTTTTAATTTGAGGGGGACATACAATACGTTGTTGTCAAGATATTTGGGTTGACTTGCAAAAAGCATTGATTTGAGATGTCCCCAGAGAAAAAAATCGTTTGGACTCAAATCGGGAGACCGAGCTGGCCATTCTATAGCCCCACGTCTACCTATCCATCGTCCTGGAAAGTTCGGATCCAACACGAACTCGTCGCTCAAAATGGGGTGGAGCTCCGTCTTGTTAGACATGATATCACAAAATTCTGTTCTTCGATCCGGATCACCCCCGTTCAAACAATGCACAAGATGTATTTTGTACGGATGCCATTTATGCTTTTGCAAAATCGGATGAACGTTCGACTTATAGGGATCCTTGTAGTACGGTTTAACGATCGCACGGATTGGTGTGCATTCATTGTCAGTTCGCCCAGAATTCCTACTTCCATTAATTCGTTAGGAGGATTGGTTTTCTTAAGATTTGCTACGGACCCAGTTTCTCGAAATTCAATCGGGCTCACGTACGTTTGACTTGTTTGGTGATCAGGATGCAACTCATTGAAAATTTGAGCAGTTTCTATAGCACATTCATTTTGTTTTCCATAAAGAAAATTATTTCAACTCTTTCAGCTAACGAATAAACCATAATGAAAAATTGATAAAAGTAAAAGTTACACTTTGATTCATAAAAAAGATTTTTTTATTTTTTTTAAATGTAAAAATACAAAATTCCAAAAATTTAATTTCAAATTTTTTTTCTTGAAAACGCATAATGATTTTTTAAATTTTTTTTACGGATTCAAGATCAGTA